CAGAGCTTTCTTATGGTGGTATTTGATCACCTCTGCGGTTTTTACAACAAAAAAGACTGACAATTTAAAAAAAATATATATTTTCTGCTATTAAACATAAAATTTAAATTTAGACCAAAATGTATTCTGCTACAAAAAATCCCAGTAATAGTAATTGATTAGTTTGCGCAAAAATTATAACATCCACAAACTATGGTACATATACTGGAATCTTTTTTATAAAAATTTTTTTCATGCTAATAATGGTGGTGATCAGCGACTTATAGCAGGACTGTGATATTGTGTGGAAGTTTTACACTGACACTTTGTGGGAACCAGTGACACTAATACAGTGATCAGTGCTAAAAATATGCACTGACGCTGTACTAATGGCACTGGTTGGGAAGGGGTTTACATCTAGGGTGATCAAAGGATTAAGTGTGTGCCTAGCTGTGTGCTTGGTGTACACTAGGTGGTGCTTTTACTATGGGACGTGATGGATTGTTTTCTCTGCTCTGCAGAGAAAAACGATTCATGACTTTTCCCTGTCAAAACAGTACTATGGCTATGTAAACATAGCCATACCAATGTTCTTGCTTCTTGACTGACAATCTGCAGGTGCCGATGAGCAACTGCTTGCCGGGGCCTGTAGATCATTTTGTGCTGTAACAGTTCACAGCAAAAGATCTTCTCCCCGTGTGTCTGAAGTGCAAATTATGTTTTTTTTATGTGATTTTGCACAGGAAAGCTGCCCTGTAGCAGTAATACTGCTATAGGGCGAAAGGAAAGTGGTTAAGTCCATGTCTAAGCTAACATTCAGAGACAGGCAGTATGCCTTTCTCTGTACTCTGTGTGTCAGGGCCACAGGTACCCTCCCCTATCCAAACACATATGTCACTAATTATCAAGGACACTGTTGGCTTTACAGCTTCTACCAACTATTGATGCTGAGGGCGTGCAGAGTTTGATGAGGAAACTGAAGAACTAATCACCCATCAGGTCTGCTCTCTTCTTGTGATTAACAGCAGGCAGCGGTTGGATTCCAAAGCCAATAGCAGATTGTCTATTGGCTATGCAATCTATCCACTGCCACTTGTCAGTCGCAAAGGGAGCGGACCTGATGGGGAACTCCTCAAACTGCTGCGTTGTGTGTGTGATGGCTGCAGAAGCACGTAGGGATCTTAGCTGTACAAATGGAGTGGAGTGGATGGAGTGTCTATATGGATACTTTGGCCCCAGTGTACCTTAACACAACAACTGTTGGTGCTTGCCTCAAATTCATGTACCTGTTGAAAACAAGTGCTTGAATTTGCAACAAGCACCAGCTTTTCATGTGGAGGCACTGTAGAACTAAAAAAATTATATTCTGGGAATTTGTATTACTTGCTGTGTCATCACTGGCCTGCCTCTGTGTGTGTGTGTGTGTGTGTATATATATATATATATATATATAGATATATATTAGTTCCACGTAGTACATTTTTATACTGTGCATGAATTGCAGCTGTTTTATACAGTACATGATTATCCTGTTAAATATAAGCCTTTCTGGTTAGAGATCTTATATGTTACTGTAGGGTCAGTACAAACATTCTTTCCTTCCTGTTGTCTTGTCTTGCCTATACCCTTCAGCTCTGCTTTCTGCTTTGCCTCTCATTGCTTCTTCCAGTAATTCATGGGTCGTCACATTTTTCTCATTATCAAGTCCATCATGTCCTGTTCATTTGCAGTGCATTTGGATAAACAAGGTGTATGCCATCCGGAAAGCTTGTGGATGCAGCTTAACACTTGCTGTCACTTTTTAATATGGTCTTTTTTTCTTTGAACATAAAGCTGTGAACAGCATTAGGAATAATGTAATGTTATACTTTAATTTTTTTATATATATATATATATATAAATATATACCATTTGCCTTAAATTGTAGCTTTAGAAATTTGAATACCAGTGTTGTTAAAGATATAAAACGGATATCTTATCTTGTTTTTTTCCCTTTTTTATCTTGCATCCAGTGTTAATGCAGTATTATTGAAATTGATGCATATAGTAGGCACTTGTTATGTGTTTGAATTTTTAAACATTTTGTCTTTGAAATATAAAACTATACAAGTTATTTTGAATACAATTTTGTATGCTAGACAGAGGACATGTTTTGTTGCCAGCACTCAACAAAAAAAATATACTTTTACCCCAATTTCATGTGTGTGTCCTTTTTTTTTTGTTCAAACTCCATTTTGTTCCATCTAATACATTGGTAATATTTTTTAAGACATAACTGTATAACACAAATGGTGATGGTTACCAAAGGGTACTTCTGCCTTTCCACATTCAGTAGATGATGCCAATTGCAGCTCTGTTCAATGTTTACAACTTTATAAAATTGTTTTCCGGAAATTGAATGGCAAATTTACATTTAACATCTTTTAATGCACTGTATGTTGTACTTTTGTGTGTCAGACATTGCTTGTATGTATATAAATGTATTTGCTGTTTTAAAATAATTAGTCATATATTTCTTTCTGTGTGCAACTGCCTTCCCAAAATTAGCAAAAATGTACTATACTGTATACAAGATACCATTTAATGTACTGCAGTCCGCAGATCAAGAGCATCCCAAGTTAAACTTTTATATAGAGTATACATAGATTTGTGAATTCTATAAATTAGAACTCCAGTTCAATTTAAAATCAGGATATTGTTTAAAATGAGTAATTAACATTTTTGTCTGTTGACCTATTCTTGGGATAGAAACGAATACACAAATCGAGCACTTTGTATGCTCAAAAATTATTCCTGTTCTGATCCATAACATCATCTGAATGATGATGCAGGTTTCAGAGATCAGGGTTATGTTAAACAGCCAGTTTAGAGGAAAATATCAGTCAAGGTTGGGGTAAGGGTCAGTATGTTTTGGGTAAGAAAAAGAATGAAAATGGGCACTGATATTTTTGGGTGCTACTTTGGAAACAAACAAAAATAATATACACATATGTGGCATCTCTCTGATCGTCAGGAGTAGGAGATTTTTTGGGGTTGTTTTCTGGTGGTAGTTTATTGTATTGGCAAAATATACTTGTGACGGAGGGTAGGCAGGACAGAACACGCAAAGCAGATGGCAGACACACAAAGCTTTATTAAAGCAAATGACAGTCATTCAATTGGGGTTTGCAGGGAGTGTGGCAGTACCCGGTATGGGGAAGTAGCAAGGAGAGGGCTCAAAGTAATGGTAGTCCGGCCCCAGGGGCAAAGTTAGAGTCTCTACAGCAGTTTGTAATCCAAACAGGGAAATGAGGATGGAGTACAGGAACAGTTCAGGGGAATAAAACAGGGAAGCATACACTCACGGATCTGGCAGGGATGCCTGGGTTCACAGCGGACGTCAGCCAGGGGCGACCCTTCTCAGCCCACAGCAGGTGGTCCTGGCAGCAGGGACCAGGCTTCACTCTCCAGCAGCAGTATGCCAGCTCTCTTGGGTGTAGAGCAGGGCAGTAGGACAGCAAGTACTTGCCCTGGGGTATGAGTGTGCATAGCGTAGTCCGTGGGTAATAATCCTGGGTGACTGCAGAGGGCAGCTGGCATAGTTCTCCCCCAAATCCTGGGGCTTGTGCAGAGTGGCAGCTGGCGTAGTTCTCCGCTTTTTCCTGGGCTTTTGCAGAGCGGCAGCTAGCGTAGTTCTTCCCCTTATCCTGGGGTTTTGCAGATCGGCAGCTAGCGTAGTTCTCCCCCTTATCCTGGGCTTCTGCAGAGCGGCAGCTGGCGTAGTTCTCCCCCCCCTTATCCTGGAGGCTTCTGCAGAGTGGCCACGAGGGTCTCGCCTCAGCCGAGATCCCTCGGTGGCGTGGCTTGGATCGGGGAGCCCGGCATCTCCCTTTTTAAGCTGATGCAGGACGCTCCCCGGTCGTCCTGGCAACTGTGGGCGGCTGGGGCAGCGGGCCTCGTCGCCTGGCAATGAGGCACGCCCCCCTGGACACGGGCCGCACTCTCGAGCACGCGGTCTTTGTCCAGCGGTATCTGCAAGCGCGGGAACGTCTCGTGCCCATGCTGCGGATGCCGGGGCCGTGCGGCGCAAGCTTGACGCCGCGGCCCAGAACATCCCCGCAGGAGGTTCGCACCTCTCCGCGGAGAGGTGTGAAACTCACTGCGAGAAGGCTATCTTCTTCCCTCCGGCCTCCCTGGATGGGGAGAGGATAGTGACAGAGGGTGACAGGAGTCACGCCTTTTGTCCTGCGCGGCTCGGTTTCAAAGAGCCACGGCAGGATGGGAGGCGGAGGGGGTCATTACTGAGCGGGTCAAGTAAGGGGGGAGAGCGGAGCAACAGGATGAATGGTGATTTTATTTGGGACTGAAATGTGATTTTATTTGGGGCAATACTGACAGAGCACCTAAACCGTGATAATACTATATAGGTTAACCACTTGCCTACCAGGCACTTATACCCCCTTCCTTACCAGGCCAATTTTCAGCTTTCAGCGCTGCCGCACTGTGATTGACAATTGCGCGGTCATGCAACATTGTACCCATATGAAATTTTGATCATTTTTTTCTCACAAATAGAGCTTTCTTTTGGTGGTATTTAATCGCCACTGGGCGCTTTACTTTTTGCGCTATAAATTAAAAAAGTGCAAAAAATTTGAAAAAAAAAAAAGTTTATTTTGTTTCTTTTATAAAATTTTTCAAACAGGTATTTTTTCTCCTTCACTGATTTGCGTTGATGAGGCGGCACTGATGGGCACTGATAGGCGGCACTGATAGGCAGCAATAAAGGGCACTGATAGGCAGTACTAATGAGGTGGCACGGATAGGCGGCACTGATAGACAGCACTAATTAGGGGTCACGGATAGGCGGCACTGATATGCAGCACTGATAGGCGGCACTGATAGGTGACACTGATGATGGGTACTGATAGACGGCACTGACTGGCATCACTTCTGGGCACTGACTGGCGGCACTGACTGGCACAACCCCTGGGCACTGACTGGTGGCACTGACTGGCAGCACTGCTGGGCTGCACTGGTGGGTGGCACTGGTGGGCAGCACTGGTGGGTGGCACAGGTGGGTGGGTGGGCACAGGTGGGTGGCACTGGTGGGCACAGGTGGGTGGCACTGGTGGGCACAGGTGGGTGGGCACAGGTGGGTGGCACTGCTGGGCACATGTAGGTGGCACTTCTGGGCACAGGTAGGTGGCACTGCAGAGTGGCACAGGTGGGTGCACTGCTGGGCACAGGTGGGGGCACTGCTGGGCACAGGTGGGGGCACTGCTGGGAACGGGTGGGCGGGGCTAGTGGGCGCACTGCTGGGCGGAACTTGCGGGTGTCACTGCTGGGCACCGATCATCAGGGCACTGATCATCAGTGCCCTGATGATCGGTGCCGATCCCCGCTCTGACAACTGCCGGTTCTCGGCAGTACTTTCCTCACGATCTGACAGCGTGAGGAAAGTGCAGCCGAGAACCGGCACTTGCATTTCCCTGTGATCAGCGTGTCATTGGACACCGCTGATCACGTGGTAAAAGGCCGGTGGGATCGGCCTTTCACCACATCACGTGATCAGCTGTGTCCGTAGGACACAGCGATCACGGAGATCGCCGGGTGCGCGCCCCCTGGGGCGCGCAGGAGAGCGCGTTCTGGGAGGACGTCATATGACGTCCACTCAGAACTGGCCGGCCGCGGTGAAGCCGTCATTCGGCTATGCGCGGTCGGCAAGAGGTTAAAGTTAAAAAAATGTGTTTTGTTTTTTCTACTGTTTTGGGCCAGTTTACATCTACCACCAAATGGAAGACCAATTTGTTCTAAAAAAAATACGAGGTATAATTCACCTTGATAAAATAAAAGTTGCAAAGATATGCACAGTTTTACATACACATGATAACATTGCAAAACTGGTTTCTGGTAAGTTTTGTTTGGGCATTCATCTTTAAGAGGTTAAAGTTCTTATTGATGCAGTGCGAACATGTGTTAAACTGGTGTAGCCTGTGTCTGAAACCACTACCTTCACCAGTTTGGGCTCCTGTAAAGATCCTAGCACTGTCAAAATTTTTCCAGTCCATCCATTACTAGGACCTATTTTGTACAAAGACTAGCCTTCTCCTGACAGATTCTTTTTCTTCCCTAGCACTTTGCTGAACAATATCCCATAGAAGAGGTATTTACTAAGAAGTGAACCATTGCCATTTTTTTGCCTTGGCAAGACTGTCTATTCCTACTGGGGACATTTCAGTGTTTTTATATCAAGTTAACAATGGTTTGGAAATTCTTTCCAAGCCCTTCCTCTCTCTAGCAGGCCTTGAAAACCTGTTATTGATGTCATGTCCTTTTGCCAGACTTCAGGAGTCTGTTTATTATTATGCAGAGAACACTTTGACTAAAACGCTGGTCTGCCAAACAGTAATGTAAAAAATGCTTGCTCCGAATGCCCTTCGATGGGGACTATCTTTTTGATGGTTCGCTAAACAACTTTGTAAGTTTAAACTCTTCTGCCTCTGAAGCCAATAAGAGTTCTTTTGTTTCTCCTAAGCTTCTAAAGAATAAAATGTATTGAAAATAATTCAAAATTCACTATTTTCTATGAATTTGCAAATTTTTTGTTGTTGTACATTTTATTCTTTATCGTTAATGCTTCTATATACAATTCATTTTTTTTTTAACCCTAATGAAGGAGGATTACTTGGCCCTCTAGATGTGTTGGGTAGCTCTGTTCTTTCTTTTGTCGTTGCCATCAATAAGATAGAATAATGGCGTTCTGAGATGATCATTTGGTGGTTGTTGATTTCATTTTAGAACTCTCCATTTGGGCAGCCCTTACTTTGTGGGATAGCCTGTTTTTGTGTGTGTGAGAGTCTGAAGTCATGTCATAACGTTCTGCTACCATCTTGCAATTGATGGGGTTAAGATATGAGTCTATCACCTCACACTTCTTTTTATTCTTGGACTTCATTTGGTTTATGTTCTTGCCCCCAGTGTTCGCCAAGGTCCTAGCTCTAGTTCTAGCCTATTTACGCTCACAGGGCATTCCCATCATGGGATATCTAGACAAACTCCTACTGAGAAAACAGCACAATGACTGTCAAGTCTCCACAAAAGTTTGGTTGCATCCTGAACATTCAGAAGTCTGTGTTGGAACAAACCTATAACTCAACATTCTGGTTGTGTAGGAAAAGCGGATTCAGCCATTGGACCTACCCATACACCTGGTACACTAGGAAAGCTCTGGAGTTGGAGGAAGTCCTTCCTTCCGGTGGATGCAAGTCTAACAGTCTGAAGACAGGTCCTAGACACCTTGGTGATGCAGGGGACATTGCTGGAAAAAGCATGCCTCCCTATCAACATTCTGGAGCTCTGAGCTACCTGTCTATTCCTTCAGTGCTGGACCCCTTGATTGCAGGTATCTGACCAGTATTCAGTCAGACGATGCCACAGCAGTAGCATATATTAGCCAACAGGGAGGAGCCAGAAGTCTTCCTCAGAAGTGGAACAAATTCTGTCTTGTCTTCAGCCTTACCCTTCATCCATGTTCCAGTAGAACACAATTGGCAGCAGACTATCCCAGCCGGTGGTGCTTGGACCCAGGGTAATGATCTCCACATACATATGTTTCACAGGTGGGGGACACCAGATTGGGGAGGGGGGGGGGTTTCCTGGCCTCCAGGTTCAACAACAAACTGCACAGGTTTGTATCTACATCCAGAGATCCTTCAGTGGAAGCAGTGGGTACTCTGGTGGCTCTGGATAATCCTCTGTCCTCTGACTCACAAGGTGGCCTTTTGTTGCTCTTAGCTCTGAAAGGCAAGTGTCTGATCTAGCAGCCTTATCTTGTCAGAAACACATTTTGTTCTCCACAGGGACAAGTTTATCTTGACCCTTAGAGCATCCTTTTTCTAATGTGTTTACTACCTTTTACCTTAATTAAGAAATTGATTGCTGTCCAACTCCTGAGATTTCCTTCAATGTACCTCTTGATAACTCCAAGAAAAGGTACAATGAGTACAAAAAAATCCTGTTTCATTTGTGCCACCCATCCTCCTTGGAAGCTATGCCTATTGGGCTCTTCACATCCCTGTACTGTTTATAGTCTCAGTACAGGCAGCACAGCTCATCTCCCCCTCTCTCCTCCTCTCATACAATACACAGCTCAGATCAATTCCCATAGACACCCTCTATCTGCACACTGCTATACTGCACAGCCGTTTTTATCTGGGAACTTCACATGTCAGAACTGCAGCATAGCAGGCAATTATCCAGTGTTGCATTACAGAGAATCAGAGAATCTATCTGAGCTGTGTGTTGTGTGAGAGGAGGAGGTGGAGAGCAGACAGCCTAGAGCTGACATCAATCAAACAAGAAGGAAAGAAGGTGGATCCAGACAAGATTGTCAGCATAAGAATCCAGAGAAGATTGTAGCCCCCCCCCCCCCCCCACAGGTGTTTACCTTGATTTTAATAGGGTGCACGTCTCAAAGGGCTGGAAAGATTTGTATGTATTAATACCTCACAGGGAATAAGATGAAGCTAAAAAAGGGAAACCAGGAAACCCATACTTCTCTTTCAAGATTAGGCTGACAAGGCTTGTATCTCCTGATTAGGGCAGTCCACCAAAACAACAGCAATCCTCCAGTCTGTTTCCTTCACAGCTCCAAAAAGACCCCTCATGGATGGATGGATAGAGATTCCTATCATGCAGTAAACTAGTCACACTCGGCCATGGATAAGGAGGTACCACCAGGCATCCTTTATGGGGCCCAGGCCAGCGGCTGAGCCCAGGAAGCTGGACAAATCGGATGTGGCAGGGAGGGTAATCGGCACAGCGGGGGGATGGGGGGGCTGTAAGCCAGCTTCTTCTCTCTCTCCTGCTGGCTTTCAGCTGCTGCAGAGAGAGCCATACAGGGGATCAGTTGCACTATTTGCCCCACACCCCTAACCCTCGCTGTGCATCATACATTTCCTCCTGCTGCCCAGGCCCCCCTGTGTGCCCCCACCTCTGCAGTGCTTCCAGCTTCCCTCCTCTCTTTCCTACCAGGTGCTGCAAACACACTGCAAGCTGCAATAGGATCCTTCAGGATGGAGAGTGCGAGATGGGTCCAGTAAATGTCACATTTACCAGCCCCTTACTTTCCTGTATGAACACAATGAGTGATTGGTGCCCATCACTCACTGTGTTCATTCATCATAACTGAAGCAGAGTAAACTGTTTTTTTTGGTAGGAAACCACAGGACCCCATACAGCCAACCTGACAGGGCCCCCTTCCAACAGCAGCCCTGAGCACACTCTTTTATACTCTCACATTATAATGTAAAATTACAGGCTCAAATTACAGTTTGTTTGCAGAGAGCTTTAATAGAGCTCAGCCTGGCAATAAACAGGAGCAAACACAAACCACTGGTCATTGGCTGCTCTGTTCCTACCCGGCCTACAAAAGCTCAGTAAGGTGCTCACTGAACTCCTTCCAACTCTGCCCCAGTGGGAGCCTTGCTGAACTTTGTAAGCCAGGTAAGGACAGAGCAGTCAGAAGCAAAGTTTTTGCCATGAGATGTGAGTTGAGTTTTAGAAGCAGGAATGTGTGCCTTACCCAAACAGTGAATGGGACCTTCATAGAGGATTATAGGTGTCAGACTGTGAAGTATTATTTGTTTTATCATTCATTTTGTTTATAAAACCCTTTTCACAAGGACATCATCCTTTCACTTATGTTTTTCAAAGATAAAAACGGATTCAGTTTATATCAGTTTGTGCCCTAAATACAAGGGAAACCTGTAACATGTTCCAAAGGTGAACTTAGCCTTTAGGTATTTTTTATTATTATGCAAGGTTCATGTCTTTTTAAAAAGTGATCTTATCCACTGTGGTTTGTAGCATTATGTAAAAAAAAAAAAAAACCTTAATTTGATTTACAAAGTACAAGCCTCTTGTGAATATTACTATTTCCATGCAATGACCAATTTGCAAAATATGCACCTTGACGCTGCTCACAGAGGATGCAAGTGGAAAAAAAGTGCACATAGAAGTAAAAGTTTAACTGAAAACTGCATTTGTGTAATTCGCTGACCTCAGGTTCCTGGCTTCTCCCCCTTAACCAGTTCCCTCAATAGCAAGTCGCTTGCTATGGGGCACTAGTGCGTGCTCGCTCCTGGGCCTCGTTCTGTGTGTCCATAAGACACCTAGAGCTACGGCTCTGCCCCGCCCCCCATTCTGTCATTGTCTCACTGGCTGTGACTGACCGAATTGGGAGCAAATGGCCTCCTGCTGCTATCAATGAGGAGAGGGAGTCCCAGGACAGCTGAGGCTCTTGTGCACATTGCTGGATCGAGAGGGGAATTACGAAAGCATTAGGGGGGCTGAGGGGGGAACAGCACACAGAAGGTAAAAAAACCTTCGCCTTTTACAATCGCTGTAAACTGGTGGTATGCTAGCTCAAGATGTTTCATTTGTATTTCCTACAAATTTCCACCCTGTTTGGGTGGTATTTGAAGACTGAAACTACAAAATCTAACATTTCCTAGCAACTAATTCTTACTAGAATCCTATATGAGACTAAGAGAAAAACATCAGTTCTTACAAAAAATATTTAAAATGCCTACACACAGCTCTCTATAAATGATCTCACTGAAGGATCATTTAGCTTCCCTGTCCCCAAGATGGCCAAAAAAACATAATTTGGGTAAGAAGCTACACAGCATAGTGTGAAACATCTGGGGCTTTTTCAAAGTGTATCTTAACCCAGGCACTTGAAACAAAACTGAATGCTGTTCCTATAATGTCAAATTGTTCAGTCTATATTCAATGCGTATATATACACTATATCCCAAAAGTATTGGGACACCCCTCCAAATCATTGGATTCAGGTGTTTCCGATCAAATGATTGGCCACAGGTGTATACAATCAAACACCTAGGCATGCAGACTGCGTCTACAAACAATTGTGAAAGAATGAGTTGCTCACTGGAGCTCAGTGAATTCAAGCGTGGTACCATGATAGGTTGCCACCTGTGCAGTAAGTCCAGCCATGAAATTTCCTTGCCACTAAATATTCCACAGTCATCTGTTAGTGGTAATATAACAAAGTGGAAGCAACTGGGAACAACAGCAACATAAAATGCCAGAGTGGGGTTAGCGCATGCTGAAGCACACAGTGCACAGAAGTCGCCAACTGTCTGCAGAGTCAATAGCTAAAGACCTCCAAACTTCGTGTGACCTTCAGATTAGCACAACAGTGCGTAGAGAGCATCATGCAATGGGTTTCCATGGCCTTACATCACCAAGTGCAATGCAAAGTGTGTGATGCAGTGGTGTAAAGTACACTGCCACTGGACTCTAGAGCAGTGGAGACATGTTCTCTGGAGTGATGAATCACGTTTCTGTCTGGCAATCCGATGGACATGTCTGGATTTGGCATTTGCCAGGAGAACGGTACTTGCCTTATTGCATTGTGTCAAGAGTAACGTTTGGTTGAGGGGGGATTATGGTGTGGGGTTGTTTTCAGGGATTGGGCTTGGCCCCTTAGTTCCAGTGAAGGGAACTCTTAAGGCATCAGCATATCAAGACATTTTGGACAATTTCATGCTCCCAACTTTGTGGGAACAGTTTGGGGATGGCCCCTTCCTGTTCCAACATGACTGTGCACCAGTGCACAAAGCCAGGTCCATAAAGACATGGATGAGCGAGTTTGGGGTGGAGGAACTTGACTGTCCTGCACAGAGTCCTCACCTCAACCCGATAGAACACCTTTGGGATGAATTAGAATGGAGACTGCGAGCCAGGCCTTCTCTTCCGACATTAGTGCTTGACCTCAAATGCGCTTCTAGAAGAATGGTCAAACATTCCCATAGACACACTCCTAAACTTTGTGGACAGCCTTCCCAGAAGAGTTGAAGCTGTCCCAATACTTATATATATATATATATGTATGTGTATGTATATATACACACACATACCTTGATTTAATCCTATGAGCAAGGTGTATCTATAGTCAAGTCCTTTCATAGATAAACAATGCTTACTGAGTTCACCTACAGTGTTCTCATCTTGACTTGGACTACTAGCATCCTAATACTGGCATCTTCTGGGAGAAGTTCTACTTTAGGTGCACTAACTTTTTCATTGATAGCTGTGACTAATGATTTACATTTAGTAGTCTTTCAAAGGACAATAAAGGTTCTGGTTTGGGGGCTTCCTAAGGATGGTAAAGAAAGCATATACTGTGTGAATTATGTGGATTGACATTGATGACAACCAGGCAAGAAGCATTTTTAGTCAGCAGCCAAAATATGAATATAGATTTTATTTAAATAAAGCACAAGACGGGGCCCTTTCATAGTAGCATATTAGAAAATATCACAGTATTAAAACTATGGCCAGCAAAATTTGTTTTTTTTTTTTTCTTCTTTTTTTTTTCAGAACCTTAATGGTGAAAGTTGTCTCAAATATTTGAATTTGTGATAGTTTACTGCAAATGTTTTTTTCTTAAATGTGCAGTTGTGCTAATTTTACCACCCTTAAACTAAACTACACTACCACCCCCCCTCTCCCCTACAGATGCTTATTTACTTTGGTTCCAGAGCTGCAGCCTCCTACGGTGTTTTCAGCTGACTGTGCATGTGCGTTGCTTTGAATCGGAGACCCTTGGTTTACAACCTAATTCAGAAAAATTGAGACCCACACCAAAGCAGGTCATGGCTCTGGAATCAGGGTCAGTAAGCAGCTGGGGATATGTGGCCCTCTGTTAGACCCATAAGCCCAGGGATTGGTGATACATGGCCCTATGTTGGAACCATAATCCCACTGCTTGAATATTCCTCTTTCTTTCTTTTTTTCTGTAGCCTCTTCTTTATATAAGCAACCTGTTGACAATCCTCCACTTCTCCTAATTTGGACATTAAGAGGCCAGAAGAGAAGCACTCTTGACCAACTCTTGGATGATTTGCCTCATGCACTCTGCTATTGTTCTTCCTTACTACTTCCTTCTGTGGGTTACATGTTGATGTATACTGTGTGTCTGTGTACGCACTACTTATGTATGTCCTTGCAGAAGTAAAAGTACTATGTAGCTCAATCAATGTGCAAAATTCTCAGCTGTTTGCCAAAGGGCGCAGTTATTTGACTGACTTGCTTTTGAGTAACAGCTGTTATTTACCAGTACATAATATATATTAATGTGTAGGGGGTACATACACAGCAATCTCTTCCCCAAATTGTCCTTTGCAGGGTAGGTCCTGATTCTCTAACCTCAAAAGGGCATAGAGTTCCTGTGAATGGATGATGTTCAGAAGAACTACAGGAATTGGTAGGCATGTATCATATACATGATAATCCATGTATAGACTGCAATGAAAAGGCTTTTTAAAAGCTATAGATGTGACTGTTTATGAATTTGTTTGTTTCCAGCCTCTGATAGAGCTCACAATTTGGAAGTTAGCATCTTACCCTGGCATCCTAATAGCTGGAGTGCCTATGCTTCCATGTCTGAGTCTGTTTAGCTGATAGCAGTTCACAATAGACAACACGGATACCTGGGTTCCATGATACAGCACAGTATTTATGCTACATGTAACATAATCGCTAACATTTGTTCTTACACAGTAAATCACTGCAGCGACAATACATTTGTTAAAGCTAAATTTAAGGCAAATAGCCAAATACACAAATTAATCTCATATAGGGAAGTTGACAGAGAATGTGAATTTCTGTCCATGAGACAGAAGATCTACAGAGCTGTGCCAGACTCAGCAAAGCTAGGTGCATAATGCCATTTACAGTTAAGGAATACAATTGTGCCCTCTCTCCATCCCCACCTTGCTGCCCTGGCTTCCAGCACTGCCCCTTCTCCTTCGAGTTTGAGTGCTGCTGTATAGGGGATTGTGAGAGGCTAATACCAAGTCAAATTCAGGATCTTACACTAGTCGCATTTAAGATAAATATGCATTAAGGGCCTCGTTCATATGTGTGTACTTAATCGTATACCTGTTTGAGGGCTATGTTTGCCTGCACGGGGATACCCAGGTGTTTCTTGCATCCGCAAGCCAGCAGTTCCATTCATGTCAGTTGGGGCACAGCAGCTGCACCAACACTATTTGTGTGGGTGCGTGTCCCCAAATTCAGCCTATTCTCGTTCAGAGACACGCATCCACCCAGATGACAAATTGGGAGCAGTGACTTCTGTGTCCAGCTGCTGCTTTTCAATTGACTTGATTGGGACAGAACAGTTGTTTTTTTCACATTCCATGTAATAAGACATTATTTTGTATTTACAGCATAATAGAACAGTGAAGAATAAAAAAAAAAATGGTCATTCATATCTTAGTTATGTAACATAAGGACAATTTATTTAAATTTATATTCAGAAAGCTAAATTGTTTTTGATTTTTAAAACAAAAAATACAATTCTTCAGCCTGTACCCTTAGTCTACTGCCATCCAATTATTTAAAGCTTTGGATAAAGCGGGGGAGAGCTAGTTTCTTGTAGGTTTTAATCTAGTCTGTTGAGATTTTCCCTTGCTTCCTGTAAACATCAAGACAAAAAATGAGGGTTACATGCCAGGACTAAAAGGCACAGACAGCAGAAAAAAGCCATTTTGAACTCCTTGCTTACTTAAGATGTGTTTGTGTCCACATTATGGAGATATCCCATCACTTCCTGTCCTTAAAATTTTCCCAGCAGAGCACAGATAACAGTAAAAATCTTGGCATAGGTTCTAACCCTTAACCTGCTCTATCCAAAATTAAAACAAAAGCTTTACCTCTAGTTGCTCTTAGCTATAGATTATACATATATATATTTTTTTTATATAATGTAACCACAGTCAAATTACTGCAAGGCCCATTTTGGTTTGTGTTGAGCTTTGCTGCAGGAAGATACAAACCATATGTAAAAAAAAATAATTTTAGTGGGGCTTGTTCACACCGTTCTGCTGCAGTGGTAGGGGTTCACGTTTTTCATGCATAAATCCTCATTCTGTAGGTAAGTGGAAAGAAAATATGCTTAAAGCACTTAAGGTTTATATTGTGATATTTATAAAATTAGTGAATAGCATTACTACTTTACATAACACATCAAGAAAAAAGACAGTTAAAACAGTCATAAAGTGTGAAAAATACATATCAACATTAAAATGACTGCACTAAATGTTATAAATGCACATTGCTACACTCAAGTGTGAAAGATCCCTAAAGTGGGAATGTAAAGCCATAACTTTTTTTTTTTTGTTTTTTAGTATTGGATAATGGTAGAAAAGAGCTAAACAACAATTTTTCATTTAGGCCCACTTACACCAGGGCAGTCTGTTGCTGTCAGATGTTTAAAGCATTGTGTGTTGAGGCCATTTATTGAAAAGCGTGCCTAACACACCACAATGAACCAAAAATTGGAGCTCTAGTAGAGAGCACTACAATGCAAAGAATGGCAGTGCATTTGACATGCTTTATCACAGAACAGTAGTCCTTTAACTTCTTGTCAACCATGTAATGCATGTATGCTGCTGGTCACGGCTTCTGACTGGGTGCCCATGGGGCTGTGAGAGTCAGTCACATTGGACATATGACAGAAAAGCCGCACCGTCTCCTGGGCATTAAAGCCCACTAAAAGGGCTACTGGGAAGCAGCTTTAAGGGGTTAATAATTCCCCCAACCCCCTGAATGCGTATTTCTGTGTTCAACACTTACATTCCTACCTGTTCAGCAGTCTTCACCTTGCAGCTCTGACTGGTGCTGCACAGCTTTTTTGTGTCAGAAAATAGTTGCATATGTACTAAAAGGTTAAACCAGCGAGGACACTTTTGGGGGACAAAATGCAGTTTGGTGCAAGGCAGGGTCACGCGGTGAAGTTTGCTTCACTGAAAAGGGAGGAACATTACAGGCTGCACTCAGAAAGGTAGACAAGTTATTAAAAGAAATGGTCAAATTATTTGCAGTGGCTGGGGAGTATGAAGCTGGGGCATATCAAGACGAGGAACAGCAGTTGGAAGTGTATGATGACCTTTAGAGCTGATTTGGACATGTGTGGTGTGGATTGAAGCTCAGGTTTCGCAGCTAATTGATACAGAAGTTGTTCAACGGTTCATATCAGGTTCAGGACAGGATTAACTCAGGCTTTTATCCTGTCCGCACATAATACGGTTTAGAAACTGTTACCACAGAAGTCAATAGCTTGTAATCCGCACCTGAACCGAAAGGCACTGCTCAGAAAACAGACGTCAGTCTTTTTCAATCTACACTGCTAGTGCACTGCACATATGTGAACAAGCACCATAGGAGGCAATGTTTTTTCATGTCATGCGGATTGGATGTGGTTCAAACCATATAAACTCTGTATATATTTGAACCGACACTTACAGGGATGCCTTCTCTTTTTTTTTTCACTTATATGTGACCCTGTGGTGACTTTTTTTCTTGGTGTGTATCATTGAGATTTCACTTCCCAACCCAGAGATACAACTGGAAGAAAAGAAATCTCTCAAATATGAACAGGGGTATCTATTTGAAAAATGTCACCTCTATTCCTGCTTCAGTGACAACTGTAAAATGTTAGATTGCCTATTCCAAGACAATGGTCACCAGGACAAACAAAG